TAAAATACTTTCTAGAATACTTTCTAGAATACTTTCTAGAATACTTTCTTGAACACTTTCTAGAATACTTTCTAGAATACTTTCTAGAATACTTTCTAAAATGCTTTCCAGAATACTTTTTAGAATACTCTCTAGAATACTTTCCAGAATACTTTCTAGAAAGCTTTCTAGAATTATTTCTAAAATACTTTATAGAATAATGTCAAAATTACTTTCTAGAATACTTTCTAGACTACTTTTTTTAAATACTTTCTAGAATATTACTAGAATATTTCTAAAATATTTCCTAGAATGCCTTCCAGAACACTTTCTAGAATACTTTCTAAAATACTTTCTAGAATACTTTCTATAATACTTTCTAGAATACTTTCTTGAATACTTTCTAGAATACTTTCTAGAATACTTTCTAGAATACTTTCTAGAATACTTTCTTGAACACTTTCTAGAATACTTTCTAGAATACTTTCTAGAATACTTTCTAGAATACTCTCTAGATTAATTTCTAGAATACTTTCTAGATTACTTTCTAGGATACTTTCTAGAATACTTTCCAGAATACTTTCTAGCATACTTACTAGAAGACTTTCTAAAATACTTTCTAGAATACTTTCTAGAATACTTTTCTAAATACTTTCTTGAATACTTTCTAGAATAATTTCCAGAATACTTTCTAGAATACTTTCTAGAACACTTTCTAGAATACTTTCTAGAAAAATTTCGAGAATACTTTCTAGAACAGTTTCTAGAGTACTTTCGAAAATAATTTCAAGAATACTTTCTACAATACTTTTTAGAATACTTTCTAGGACTCTTTCAAGAATGCTTTCTAGAATAATTTCTAGAATGCTTTCTAGAATAATTTCTAGAATTCATTCTAAAATACTTTCTAGAATACTTTCCAGAATAATTTCTGGAATACTTTCTAGAATAATTTCTAGAATAGATACTGATGTTCGTTCCGTTTACCAGTTTGTGGTTTATTAACCATAAGTGACTAATGAAGATAGATTGTTAATTAATGTTGATTTATTAACTTTTTAGTATACAAATGTTCAAAAAAATATTTGAAAAAAAACTACGAATCATAACAAAACAAAAATTTCAGGGAGAGTCTGAGCAATAAATTTTGTTAAGATGGACCTCAATCTTTTAAAATCTTTGGTTGTAAATTAGAATCCTTTTCTAAAACCTTTGGCACACTATCGATTCTTTTAATTCTTTCATATGATAAACTAAATGTAAAAAATGATAATTTTCTATTAGGTTGAAGTGAATTACCATCCTGTAGTAAAAGGAAGATACATGCACTGGGTATAGAAGGACAGACGGACACCTGCTAATCATGTAATTGGGCAATCTTCACATTGGGGTGCACAATAAGTATTAAATCTACTAAATTTACTAAATCTCCTAAAACTACTAAACCTACTAAATCCTCTAAAACTACATATTTAATATACTAAAACTACTAAATATATACTAAGTCAACTAAATCTACTAAATATATTAAAGCTATTATTAGTAGATTTCTACTAAAAATTCTAAAAATTCTAAATTTGCTAAATCTACAAAAACTACTAAATCTAGTAAAATTAGTAGATCTACTAAATCTACTAAACCTTTTAAATCTACTAAATCCACTAAATCCACTAAATTAATTAAATTTACAAAATCTAGTAAATCTACTAAACCATACCAATTGTTTACGGTACATAATAATAAGTATTTAAATTTTTACGGAAAAATGTTAGTAACACATCTATTTTATTTTTGTATTCTAAATCTTTGCTCGCGGTTCAGCTCATGTTTTAGTTTAATTTTATTTTACAAGCAAATTATGAGTTTAAATGTTAGAATGGAAAATTGGGTAAACTAGATGATTAACATTACAGAGGTAAAAATAACACTTAAATCTTTGTATGGTATTAAAAATCTTTTTTCGAGAAATGCACCTTTAAAATTAAATAGGATTATTAAAAAATGTTTACTCCTCAATTCCACATTATTGAAATATAAATATCCACGAAAGTTGAGGAATATGTTAGCCATAGCAGGCCAAACGGTTAGGCATCATGAAATTTGGTTATTTTTTACCGATTATACGCGCGTTCTTCTTTATCCATTAATATATGGATTATTATTATTTCGACCATATAAAATCTGGGGCTGGGGTGGACGGCCCCCCCCCCTCCCTAGTTTCTACCTGCAATATAAATTAGCAGTGGGGCAATATTCCTTAATCCCCCACCCAGGTCTGTCCTTCAATAGGCTTCTAACAAAACGATTAATTTACGAATTAAAACATTAAAATTTAAAAAATTTACTTTTATTGTCATTTTTGAATAAAATTAATTTTGTTTCGTCGAAATGTGGTGCTAAATTTTTATTTCGATGCAAGCCTAGTGGCGACAATACTCCAACTTGTCACAATAATCCGCAGAGAGAAGCTGACGAATTGAATAATCAGTGAGACGAATAATCCAGAGGAGCAAAACATCCTCAACCCGACCCGACCCAACCCAACCCAACCCGACCCGTAGATTACGTTTTAATGCAAGGGTTCAAGGGAAGGGGGTAGAGTACAGGAGTTATTAAGAATTAAGGGGTAGGAATTAATCATGAAGTATTTTCGCAAAATAAGGATCAACTTTGGATCATCATTGGTTTTTATTTTTGTCAAGAATACCCTCCTTCTCCCCCCCCCCTCATTTTACTAATGCTACGCCCCTGATGGAAGCAGACATATTACCCTTAAGCGGATTATTTAAATGAAAACAAAGATGAAAAGAAGAGAAAAGAGATTTCAACGATTTAATTATTTTCTTCCTGTATTTAGTTTATAGCTGCTTTCCTTCCCATGGTCTTTCAATTTCAACACTTTGGATGCTTTGACAAAGTAAAGCATCAAAAACAACATTTAAAAGCATCAAAAGCAAAAAGCAAATCAAATTTGATGCCCTATACTCACTCTTTTCGAGAAAATATTAACTTTCTAGTCAAATTATGACTGAATGAGCTAAAAATTATGAAGCATTGCTTTTCCCTGTGCTTTACAGATGGATTTGACAACACAAATATTTCCTTATCAGTTGTAAAAGAAAAATGAAAGAAATCCTTCGTCTTTCTGGTCAAAAATCATTTTTGTTACTTTTAAAAAAACCTTAGAAAAATCTTTCATCTTTCTGGTCAAAAATCATTTTTGTTACTTTTAAGAAAAACCTTAGAAAGGGGAAGTTTTGGCAAGAGAGGAAGAAGATGCCATACCCCCCCCCGCGTCTGTTTTCGATATAATGACTCAGGATATCCAAATTGCCAAATTTCTTAATAGTTGCTGAAAATGGCTAATGGCCTGAAATCAGAAGTTAATGGACCCAATGTCTCTTTGTCACTTTTCTAAGACTGTACATTATTGGGTCTGAAAAGTATGGCTGTAAGGTAATTACAACTGTAATAAACAATGTGTATTATATATAATTGAGCCCAATAAATGTAACTTAGAATTGATTGGGACTGAGAAGGTGTTTTTGTGACTCAGGAAGTGTCTGAGACAAAGCTGGGACTTAGAATTTTGACTTAGAACTAGTGTCTTAAACACAAATTGGTCTGAAAAGTAAGACTTTGAAATTATTGTGACTTGGAATTGTGACTTAGAATGGCCCATGAATATAATTAAGCCAGACTACTGTGAATAAGACAGAACTGTGACATAGTTAGAATTGAGTCTTAAAATGTTTCTAAGGCATATTTTTTACTTTGAAAGTGTTTAGAATGTGTCTAATGCATATTTGTGACTAAGAGAGTGTCATAGACATAATTGCGACTTAGAAAGTGTCTTCGACATAATCATGTTTCCAAAGTAAGAATATTTCTTAGAATTTTGACTTAGGATTGTGACTTAGTGATGAGTCTTGACAAATTTGTGACTTAGAATTGTGACTTAGTTAGTGTCTTAGACATAATTTGGTCTCAAAAGTATGACGTTAATGTAATTGTGACTTAGAACTGTTACTTAGAATATGTGGCCGCTATCAATAACCCCTCCTATACTTCCAACTCATTATTCAGTACAAAATATGTTAAAGATATACCAAAGGGTTTTATATTCCAAAATAAAAGAATCATTTTATCACGGAAAAACGGGAATTTTACATATATTGCCATGAACGAAAAGAACATTTTTGAAGGTTTCCAACAGTTGCATTGTATTTAAGAGATTTCAAAGGGTTAGGTCATGCTAGGTTACGCAAAGCAACCAAATTTACACTTCACAGCATCTTATTTGTCCTAATTGATAATATATAGAGTTTCTTCTTCAATCTTTATCTTTCATTTTTATCATGTACAGTCCTTTGTTTTAATCTAACATTATCATAATCATAATCAGTCAATCTAGGCTAAATAATTTAAACTATATCCATTATTGTTTTTTGGTTATTCCTCTTTCGTCATTCCTCATTCTTATCCTCATTTATTCAGTATCCTCCATCCTTCATGGTTCATCCGTTATCCAAGAGTATGTATCATTCATGGTTCATCCTTTATCTAGTAACCTCCATCCTTCATGGTTCATCCTTTATCTTGTAACCTCCATCCTTCATGGTTCATCCTTTATCCTTTATTCTTTATCCTCCATCCTTCATGGTTCATCCTTTATCCTTTATTCTTTATCCTCCATCCTTCATGGTTCATCCTTTAATTAAAATGATGCCACATTAAAGTGTGGACATATAAATATAAAATTTTTATTGTTGATCACAACCACAAGTTCGAAACTTTAAACTTTAAAAAAATGATTTTACCCTTTTCATCCGTTTGCCCATAGAAATCCTATATAATTTGTGTAGACTGTAATATGTATAGGATGAGAAGGTGTGTATGTTTACCTTCTATTGGTTTGATTGGCAGGTATGAAGTTAGTAACCACCCACCCTTCTCCCACCCATATACATAACAACAGATAAAATGTGAAAAATACCAGACATGGAACCCCTAGACCTCTAATGTTCTATTATGGAACCCCTAGACCTCTAATGTTCTATTATGGAACCCCTAGACCTCTAATGTTCTATTATGGAAACCCTAGACCTCTAATGTTCTATTATGGAGCCCCTAGACCTCTAATGTTCTATTATGGAACCCCTAGACCTTTAGTGCTCTATTATGGAACCCCTAAACCTCTAATGTTCTATTATGGAACCCCTAGACCTCTAATGTTCTGTTATGGAAACCCTAGACCTCTAATGTTCTATTATGGAAACCATATACCTCTAGTGCTTTATTATGGAACCCCTAAACCTCTAATGTTCTATTATGGAACCCCTATACCTCTAGTGTTCTATTATGGAACCCCTAAACCTCTAGTGTTTTATTATGGAACCCCTATACCTCTAGCGCTCTATTATGGAACCTCTAAACCTCTAATGTTTTATTATGGAACCCCTATACCTCTAGTGCTCTATTATGGAACCTCTAAACCTCTAATGTTTTGTTATGGAAACCCTATACCTCTAGCGTCCTATTATGGAAACCCTAGACCTCTAGTGTTCTATTATGGAACCCTAGACCTCTAGTGTTCTATTATGGAACCCCTAGACCTCTAGTGTTCTAGTATGGAACCCCTATACCTCTAGTGTTTTAGTATGGAACCCCTAGACCTCTAGTGCTCTATTATGGAACCCCTAGACCTCTAGTATTCTAGTATGGAACACCTAGACCTCTAATGTTCTATTATGAATACCCTAGACCTCTAGTGTTCTATTATGGAACCCCTAGACCTCTAGTGCTCTATTATGGAACCACTAGACCTTTAGTGTTCTATTATGGAACCCCTAGACCTCTAATGTTCTATTATGGAACCCCTAGATCTCTAGTGTTCTATTATGGAACCCCTAGACCTCTAATGTTCTATTATGGAACCCCTAGACCTTTAGTGTTCTATTATGGAACCCCTAGACCTCTAATGTTCTATTATGGAACCCCTAGACCTTTAGTGTTCTATTATTGAGTTCTATTATGGAACCCCTAGACCTCTAATGTTCTATTATGGAACTCCAAGTCCTTTAGTGTTCTATTATTGAACCCATACACCTCTAATATTCTATTTCGGAATCCTTAGAACTCTAGTGTTCTATTACTGAACCCCTAGACCTCTAGTGTTCTAGTATAGAACCCCTAAACCTCTATTGCTCTATTATGGAACCCGAGACCTCTAGTGTTTCATTATGGAACCCGGCCCTAGAACTCTTATGTCCTATTATGGAATCCCTAGACCTCTAGTGCTTTATTATGGAACTCTAGACCTCTCGTGTTATATTATGGAACCTTTGGACTTCTAGTGTTCTATTATGGAACCATTGGACCTCTAGTGTTCTATTATGGAACCATTGGACCTCTAATATTCTATTGTGGAACCTGTAGACCTTTAGGTTCTATAATGGAACCCTTAGAAACGAAACCTATCATCTACTTCAATTAATTACATTAATTGAACCTGTAGAAATGAAGTGAAAAGAGAGAAAATTTATACAAACATAAACTTTGAATGCAGAAAACAAATTGATCAAACTAAATGGTTCTGACGGTATCTTAATTTAAAGAATAAACTAATTAGAAACTCAAAACCAGATACATGATATTGTGTGCTAACTATACATAAATAGTTGTTAAAATAGAGAAGTTTTATTAACAACTAGATAAGAAACACAAAAGACAATTATAAAATTATGAACACATTAAGTTTATAATTCAAGAAATTAGAGTGGTTATATCAATGTTTGTATTGATTAGAAAACTAAGTAAAACCATTATATTTTAGGGTAAAGTAACGTAAAAACGGAGATATAAACTTCTCAGATCCGTGGAATGTGAATAAAAATATGCCTATTATGTTCATCCGACACCCCGCTATAAATATATGTGACCTCCCTTTAACATTTAAAACTAAATTTTAATAAATTATTGATTACCAATTGTAAAAATTGAATTTAAAAAATGTTGTGGATGGAAACCCTGATGAGACAACTATACCCAACTAGAACCTGAAGAAGAAAGAACTAGGATTGATTAGAGGTCTCTTGAGAATGAAAAAGTTGATGGACGGACGGATCCTAGATTGTTCAAAGCTTAACATCAAAAGTAGAATTCAAGAGGCAACTTCTACAGAAAATCTTTTAATGAAAGGATTCTCTCAGAGAGAATTCAATATATAAAATGTAAAAAATACTTAATATTGTTAATATTATATTATGTTTTGCTTTATTGCACATGTAATACAAAAATGAATTAAATGCAATAAATGGGATGAAGATGAATTAAATGCAATTAATGGGATGGAGAATAAATTAAATGCCTTTACTGGGATGGAGAATGAATTAAATGCAATTAATGGGATGAAGAATGAATCAAATGTAATGAATTGGATGAAGATGAATTAAATGCAATTAATGGGATGGAGAATAAATTAAATGCAATTAATGGGATGAAGATGAATTAAATGCAATTAATGGGATGGAGAATGAATTAAATGCCTTTACTGGGATGGAGAATGAATTAAATGCAATGAATGGGATGAAGAATGAATTAAATGTAACGAATGGGATGAAGATGAATTAAATGCAATTAATGGGATGGAGAATAAATTAAATGCAATTAATGGGATAAGATGAATTAAATGCAATTAATGGGATGAAGAATGAATCAAATGTAATGAATGGGATGAAGATGAATTAAATGCAATTAATGGGATGGAGAATAAATTAAATGCATTAATGGGATAAATTATAAATTAAATGCATTTACTGGAATGGAGAATGAATTAAATGCAATGAATTGGATGAAGAATGAATTAAATGTAACGAATGGGATGAAGAATTAATTAAATGCAATAAATGGAATGAAGAATGAATTAAATGAAATGAATGGGATGAAGAATGAATAAAATGCAATGAATGGGATGAAGAATGAATTAAATGCAATGAATTGGATGAAGAATGAATAAATGCTATGAATGGGATGAAGAATGAATTAAATGAAATGAATGGGATGAAGAATGAGAATAATGCAATGAATGGGATGAAGAATGAATTAATTGAAATGAATCGGATGAAGAATGAATGAAATGCAATGAGTGGGATGAAGAATGAATTAAATATAATGAATGGGATGAAGAATGAATTAAATGCAATGAATGGGATGAAGAATGAATTTAATTAAATGAATCCTCCAACTGCCTGTAGGGTTGTGTCCTATAGTGTATAGGGTTCAGGTCAACTCTATAATTTACTCCCATTAGTAATTTGCTTTTCCGACTCATAGTACTGGGGAGACAGAAAAAATAAAAACTTTTAAAAAACTATTTTGATATCTTTTAAAACAAAAGTTATTTTTCCAAATCAAGAATAAGAAAAAGATTTTCAGAGATTTCAAAAAAAATATTTATGTTGAGTTTGTGCCGTGTATAAATACAAACATGACAATCTTGAGTCATCAGGGTAGAAACCAGAAGCTGAAATTATATCATTAAACTTAGCTTTACTTTACACAGACATGGATACACTTAACTATACTCTATACAGATGTAGATATACCTAGTTTACTTTAAACAGACATGGATACACTTAACTATACTCTATACAGATGTAGATATACCTAGTTTACTTCACACAGACATGGATACAATCATACATCTAACTAAACTCTACATATACAGATGTAGATATACCTAGTTTACTTTACACAGACATAGATAGATACACCTAGCTATACTCTATACAGATGTAGATATACCTAGTTTACTTTACATAGACATGGATACACCTAGCTATACTCTATACAGATGTAGATATACCTAGTTTACTTTACATAGACATGGATACAATCATACACCCAGCTATACTCTGTACAGATGGAGATATACCTACTTTATATGTACTTTACACCTTACTATACTCTATACAGATGTACATATACCTACTTTGTATGTACTTTACACCTTACTATACTCTATACAGATGTAGATAGTTACTAGATACACATATTACACTGTGCAAAAAATACTCATATACCTTCCGTTTTGCAGAAATATCAGATAATTTAGCATATTTTGCAAATATCAAATTTGATCTGATTTCTAGACATTTACGTTTCAATTTAGGTTTTAAATACTAACCAAACAAGGCTTTAATATTGCCTGTCAGACCTTAATTCCGGTTTTTGTCAATCAAAAATAGATAAAGATAACATTAAGATAGGTTAGAGTGGATAGAGTAGGAACATGCATCGGGTTAATTATGAAACTCTATATCATTATTTACTTCAAGTTTTTAGACAAGTAATTCAGGTTTTGATAAACTAATGATAGAATACAGGCAAATAGGTTTTACTATCAAACATTTTTGAGACTTTAATAATAAGAAAATAAACTTTTAGAATTCAGTGATAAATAACTGACACATCAAAATCGTAAAAAATTGATGAAAAACGTGATCTCTTCCGAATAAATAATTTCTGGAATTTCTGGGGAATTTTTTTTTAACAATTTGCATGTATTGATTAATATCAATTTTTTAACCTCCAAGTACAACAACCACTAAAGACTTTAAAAAACTCTGTCTAGTGTCTACGGTTTTAACTTTCAGATACGCTGTCTAGTGTCTATTTTTCGAACTCTAAGACACCTGTCTAGTGTCTATGGCATAGAGTAATAAAACGAAGAGGTGAAGCTTAGCTCAGATGTACACTAGTATTTAGAGCGATCGTATTTCTAAAGAGGGATTTTATGGAATTGACCAATTTTTAAATTTTCTTTCTGTCAAAAATATTAAGTTTCTAGGGTATGAATTTAACTGAAAACATTCTTATTTCAAACATTTTTATTGTTTCTTCTCTTCATCTGCAACTTCTGAGATATACTCTTGAGTCTCCCAACCTTAAAAGGTCTAGCCATGCACAATTTTTTGGTATTTGAAAAAACTCACATTTTTACAAGAAGAATTGTTCTGGCACTTTTTCACGATGCAATATTTAGACATGCTTGTGTTGAAATAAACAAACAACTGAACTTGAATGTACTGCAGTATACAATCCTGTGTTTACAATCCATATTAAGTGTCTATCTAATTATCAATACTAATATTCAAATATCTACATTAAACCACTCCTTAGAAATACGATCGCTCTACATACAAATGTACAACGTTAGATACGTAAACATATCGTGATGTACACAACCGACCTGTCTATTAATCAATTAAAAGACAGGTCGGTTGTGTACATCTGAGCTAAGCTTCACCTCTTCGTTTTATTACTCTATGGTCTATGGTTCTAACTTTCAGACACCCTGTCTAGTGTCTATGGTTCTAACTTTCAGACACCCTGTCTAGTGTCTATGGTTCTAACTTTCAGACACCTTATCTAGTGCCTATTCTTCGAACACTAAGACACCAGTCTAGTTTCTATGGTTCTAACTTTCAGACACCCTGTCTAATGTCTATTCTTCGAACTATAAGACACCTGTCTAGTATTTATTGCTCTAACTTTCAGTCACCCTTTCTAGTGTATATTCTTTTACCTC